TTTTTTTTTTTTTTTTATACAGTTTTTTTTTTTTTTTGCAGAACTGGGGATTGAAGTCAGACCCTTGCACTTGCCAGGGAAGCGCTTATACTACTGAGCCATCTCCTTGACCCTGACACAGCATTTTTGGTGACACAGTCCTAAGACCAGAGTGGATGGTGTGTTGGTGTAAGGCAGCTAAACATGTCCCTCAGATCTCCAGAACCTATCGGATAGATTAGAGGGTCTGTGATGGATAGGAATCATTTTAACAAATAAATTATTTACCAACTCTCTCATGATAGCCGGAGAGCTCAGGATATAGCTTATGTTCATTTGCATTACCTGAAAAAAAAGGCGGGAAGAGATTGAGAACATGTGCTAGTACACAGTGAGCGGAAACAATGATCAAAACTTCAAGGGTAATACTCCATAGATCTAGGAAAGCATTCTATGAGAATGGATGTTTCCACTAAAGACAGCAGCTGAAAATTTGTCTTATGATATAGAAGAGGCTGAGTGCTTATCTCTTTAACACCCATTAGTTTTTCCATTTGATTCTAAAGTGTAACTGTTTCTTGATTTCTTAACAGTAACATTCAAGAGTTACTTAAGCAACATTTAATAGTTACTTAACAATAATACTTAGTAGCTACTTAATCATAATAGTATTTAAGTTGCAATAAAAGTATTTACTTTGCGAGCCAGAGTTCCGCTTGGGTGGTGCTGATGATTGCTGTGGTCTTGATGCTGGTTTTGGAGGTAACTCTTTAGCCTGCAAGGAAGGTGAATACACCAGATTCTGAATTTGTTGTTACTTAGGAGCATGAAAGGATCTTGGGTCCTCATGCATTTTGGTAGCAAATTTTATCCTATGCACTCCTTAATGAAACACCCCAGAAGCTCACACGCACTCTTTGGGGTCCCCTCTTAGTGGGGTTGGATAATGAGAGATGTGGGTGGATAAAGGGTCTTCTCATCCGGGGGCTCCTCAGCAGGCCTCGCTCTGCAACTGTGCAGGTGTGCAGGGGGTCACAGGTGGGGCGGTCACAGATTGTGTTGGAGTGGGGACAGGCTGTGACCCCTCAAACTGTGTGCTTCTGTTTTTACTCTGAACAACCCAGAAGGGTGCCGTGGGGAGCAGGGAAAGGAGGCACAAAAGCTTTTCTCCGTGCTCCATAACCAGGAGGGGGCAGGTGGCTCAGGAACAGCACCATTATCATCTTCAATACTGTAAAGTTTGGCTCAGAGAAATTAAATCACAGAGGACAAACTGTTCTTGCAATCTGCATGGGTGGATCACAGGGTCATAAGGCACTTCCCCAAGGACTTTAGATGGGACATAACATTGCACAGCACAGGTCGCCTCTGGCTGTGGAGTGGACGAGGGGTCCCGTGCCCACAGAAGGACCTTCTGCTGCTCCCGGGCGGCTCTCCTCATGTTGATGCGCTGTCCCTCGTGCTCATACTTTTCGGTGAAGGAATCGAGAATTTCATAGAGGTCTTCTGCCTGAGCGGGCCGTGGCACATCTCCAAACAAAATGTCGTAGGCACGGATCTCCTGACAGTAAAATCTAGCAACAGAAAGTGAAGAACATGTCTGTAACAGACGGGGCCTTTCCTAGAGCTCAGCGTGGTGCACACATGCACGCGGTCACCCATGGTCTGCACCTCCCTTACCCTGCACCTTAAACACTAACTGCATACCTGTGCCACAACCACTTGTGCCCCACCTCAAGCCCAGGGCCAGAGCAGTGACCATAATGTTCTGGTGTACCTCCTTCCTCCACTGACATACACACACACACACACACACACACACACACACACGTACATTCGTACACTTTCACATGGAAATGGCTACAGAAATACATGTATAAAAACAGACATTTCTCTACTTTTTTTTCTTTTAAGTTTCTTACAGGAATGGTACTACACATGGGTCTTTGCAATTTTCTTACAATGTTTATTTTTATCAAAATTAAATAAGGATTTGCCTTCTATGTTTGGAATCCCTACAATTCATTAAGGAGTATATTTGTTTTAGTTTATCCAGGATCTAGCTGAACATTAGTGGGAAAGTCTGCCCAAGTCTAGAATCAGAAGTTTCTAAAAGCATTCTTAGGTCATGTCAAATTAACCAAAGCAGAAGTAAAAGCCTCCCTCCCGACGCTGTGGGACCGTGAGCTCGGCAAGCCTTAGTTCTCCCCAGCGCCACCATTTTCCAATCTGTGCTTCGTACTTTGCATTACACAGGTGCTATGGACTTGTCCAAGGCCTGGCTGTGACTTCTTCGCAGGTCCTTGCCTCCCACAGCTGCAGGGCTGTCACCGTCCCTGACACAGTCCTGCTATCACTGTATCAGTTCCTGCAGGCTGCTTGCTAAGGAGCTGGCCCCAGCTCCAGCCACGACCCCTCCTGGGCCTCACAGGGCCAATTTCTAAGACTGCTCTGGAAAACGCATGCTCACACAGTCTCCCTTCACCTCTTAAGATTCTTCCAAACCCATTTTAAAAAAAAAAAAAAATCAAACTGAACTGTGCAAAGGAGCACAAACCTTCCAGCACTCTGGGAGACTGATGGGTGGACTGCCACTTTGCACCATTCTTGGCAGCTTAGTGACACTGTCTCAAGTGAAAATATAAAGGGTCAGGATGTAGCTCAGTGAAAGGCCCCAAATTCAATCCCCAGGACCAAAAGAAAAAAAAAAAAAAAAAAAAAA